CGTAGCTTACAGAATCATTTGGAAGAAACAGCTTTTTTAACACAGGAAGAGGTTAAAACTGATATTTGTGAGTTCTTCGAATCAAAGCCAAAAGAATTTTACAGTAATGGAATTAGTAAGCTTGTTAATAGATAGAAGGAAGCCATAGATAATCAGGGGAAATACATTGTTGATTGAATCTGTAATTAAATGTAACATTTGGTTACTTGTTTTCTTTATTCAAAATTTGGATAGAACTTATGGGATGACCTGATATATATATATATATATATATATATATATATATATATATATATATAATGAAACGTTGGCGTAAACGCTCAAGTAATTTTAAGACTGGAAAAATATGTAATTTTTTTGTCACAGTCATCGGGCGAAGGTTGTAACTACAAAATTCAGCGTTAATTTGTTTTTATTAATTTACTTTTTGGCTTCGAAGTTTCAAGTTGAATATTTTCTGATGGTTAAGGCAACGGGAAAATGGAGTAGAAAAGTAATATCGACTGGGACCAACCCCTTGAGAACTTGCCTTTTTTATTTTCAATTCACCCCAAGCAAGGCGGTAATGCCATTAAGACGCAGTGGACTACTGGGAGTAAAAGAGAATAAAAAGACTTTGGAAGGAACAAGAAACCCAATCCTAAACAGGAAACAAGAGATAAACATCTACTTCTGTTCAAAAGATCGGGAAGGAATGTGAACCGGGCAAAAGGTGAACCTATCTGTTTCTATTATTAGTTTATGGACAATACTGTAATTAATTTGGTCACGTAAACATAAAGGTTAGAAAGGACTAAAATATATCTCGAAATATTACAAGGTTACGACCTAGAAAATGGCGATAAAAAAGTAAAAATAAGAAGACAAAACGTTCAAGATTCCTGATTCAAATAATTAATCTTTGAATTCATACAATTTAAGGCTGACGATGTGTCACTGTTAGTAAGAAAGAGAAAATGAGAATAACTCGAAAGAAAGAATAAGATTATGAAAAAAAAGGTGAGCCTGTGATAGAGAGAGAGAGGGGGTGGGGAGAGAGAGAGAGAGAGAGAGAGTGGAGATTGAATTGCATGCGTTATTACTATGATCGCAAAAATAGAAAATAGCATTAAGTATCTGGCGCATACAAATGCAGGACAGTCGTGTGGTTTTGAAACGAATGGCTAAATCGTGATATCATTCAACCAGTTTCCAAAAATAATATCAGGTAATATTCGAAGCTAATCAACAGGAAAACATCTTCCACAGTTTGGTATGCATTCACTTACTCTGTGTTTCTCGGAACCGCATAATCACACACACACACGCACACACACACACACAGACATATATATATATATATATATATATATATATGTGAAAAGTGTATATAAATATATAATAAATATGTATAATTATTTATATATTATATGCGCGGTACTTATTAGAAAGCACTCAATATCAGAGATAGAGCTAACACGCACATATATATATATATATATATATATATATATATATATATATATATAAAATGTATGTATTTAGTGTAATGAAACAGAAATTGTTCTTTTAAACACATTTTATTGAAAAGTATAGACATTTTCTGTTTCTTTTCTAAATTGCTAATACACTTCCAGAATCCTTGCTGCTGCAGATACGAATAATACACAATATTTAAAATGAAATGAAATTGAACCCTTTTTTTGAGTGTGTGCATATATATATATATTATGTGCTATTAGGTTAGCTTCTCAGTCCAGCTGTCAAAACGGTTAAATGTCGCCATTTCATCTACTCCAATAGCTTCATGTGTCTCGCTTCACGTCTGTGTAACTCCCTTCCTCTTAATTGCTTGCCTGATAGCTATAATCTCCAACTATTCAAATGGAATATCAGTCGATATGCCTTGATCTATCCCCCCCCTCCTCTCTTCATCCTTTCCTCTATCATGACTCTTTACTCTTGCCCACAATCTCTGTAAACCCTTGACTGCTAGTTTCACTCCCGCCTTGCTTCGGGTGAAAAGCTTATATATATAAATATATATATATATATATATATATATATATATATATATATATATATATATATATAGTACAGGCAATAAATATATTGGTATATGATCCAAGTGGATCTTATTAATATCAAGTATTAAAACTGATCTACAAATGATGTCGACTGTAGTCAAAGTTATATTTTAAATTTCTAATTCCGACACGAACACAGTCTGTACACCGGGTTTGAATAAGACTAACTTACTCTTCGTTGGTTGAAATAGATCTATACCGCCCCATATGATGTAATTTTGATTTTGTTTTTATTGATTTTATATATAGAGAGGTAATGAACTGTTTGGTAATCCGTATGGATAATCCCAAGGAGGATGTAATCCAGAGAACTCAATGTAAAAACAGAGCGAATATTAGTTAAATTAGAAAAGGTTGTTTTTTTCTAATTTAACTTTTATATATATATATATATATATATATATATATAATATATATATAATATAATATAAATATAAAAGTATGTATAATTATTTGTATAATTATTTATATATTATATGCGCGGTACTTATTAGAAAGCGCTCAATATCAGAGATAGAGCTAACATATTTGGTTGGATAGATGTGAGTTTGTGACCCTGGGTTTCACGCTTTAGCGATCGTCAGACATGTCTATCAACCAAATATATATATATATATATATATATATATATATATATATATATATATATATATATATATTTTTTCTAAATTGCGAACAACGTGCCGCAAATCTGGCTAATGCGGATGCATGAAGTGACGACACACTTTTAAATGTATATCTTAAAACACTTCTTAAAAAGCTTAGCCACGGTCTTGGTTTTCTTTACCTTAATTTACTTGTACGGACTCCTGATGGTGACTCATGTGTGTCGAAAGCTTAGACACGGTCTTGATTTGGGATATTTTCTGAATTTACAGCAGTTAGGTTTGCGGAAAATTATTCTAAATTTAGAAAAAGAAGATGGTTAAATTTAATTGATATACAAGAATGTATGTATTATCCGTCAAAATGAGAATTCAACCCCGAATTAAAATAAACTCAGAAGATTGGCTTAGCATCACTCGATCTTATGATTCAAATTTAACCAACTTCGCAGCTAAAGATTTCTCTTAATTGCGCCACATTGGCACTTCCTTTAAAATTCGGTAAGAGGATGTGTTCGTAGTGTAACGGTTAGCGACCCGAAAAGATAAATTCAGCCGGGATCGTCACGTTCACTTTCGCACTAATACCTTCGGTAAAGGCATCAACCTATTTTTGCCACCAGTTATTTGTTAAATTAGCCTGGTTGTATTGAGGTGGTCTGGGAGAATGAAAACTCTGAATTCAAAACCAGGTTACATTATCCTAGATGCACTGCTATGAATTCAGCGCATGTTGGTGACCCTATGACTATAAAGAGTTACGGGACTTGTAAGATAATGTGAAAAGATCAATTCGATACTTTTAAATTCTTTTTATTCTAGATGAGAAGAAACAAAAGAATTAGTTTCACTGTAAACTAATAATGATGATTCTGTTCTTAACAAATTTAAATTTTTTATTTTATTTGGACGGATTTTTATTCAATTTCCATAAATATGACATTACAATTTAGTTGATGATAAATGTAACACACTTTTTAACCATTTTTTCAACGCAAGGATTCAAGCAGACAGAAGATGATGATGGAATTTTTAAAAATCATAGATGACAAGAATGCCAAAAACAGAGAGTTCTACAAGATACAATAGAAGATATACATACAGGAGAATCTATTAGAATAGAACTTGCTGTTATATCTAACACTTTCAAAGGTGAAATTATGAAATTAAATCCTACTCTTAAATTCATGAAGTCGAGGTAACAAAGAGAAAAGCTTATTAGTATAATTATCATGAAAATATTTATAGTATAGACATAAGGAATTTATATTATGGCAATGGGAAAGTAGGTGGAGCCGGGCTAATAATATTTCGAATTCTTCTTTGGATTTTGTCCAGAATCTCAAGATACATAGCAAAAGCAGGAGACCAAATCTGGCGTTCCTGGGTATGACCATAAACTACGTCCAACAGCAAGGACTCTGATGAGATTTTTAGGAGCGTGGAACTACATCTTAATTGATGGTGTTCGCAGGTCTAGCCTGACCCGGGGTGCTAGCACCTGTTAGGGTCCAAGCTATGGGAAAATAGTTAACCGATAAAAACACTATGAAAGTGAAAAATAGGTTTTAATACCAGAAATACTTTGTAAAAAAAATATTATTAGCAATAAATATTTAAAGAAAAAACTATTACCAGCAATACATTTTTGGAAAAAAATATTACCAGCAATATATTTTTGAGGAAAAAAATATTACTAGCAATAATTTTTTTGAAAAAACATTACCAGCAATACATTTTTTGAAGGAAAAATTTATTACCAGGAATAAATTTTTGACAAAACAAAATATTACCAGCAATAAAAACTTTGTCGGCATTAAAGAACCCATTGAGGTTGATATACCATAAAACACAACAAACCAAACCAAATCTGGCAACAATATCCAATTCATGGATGAAGGGTAGACGGGTTGGAGAGCCAGATAATGACGAGAAAAATTATCGAGCACAACAAAATGAAACAACCTTCCTAGCATCAGTAATAGCAATGAGTTCGATAAAATCATTCAAATTCATACCAATGAAAAACGTCAAACAAAGAAGGGGCAATAAGTCACCCACTTGGAGGCTAGCATCAGCCGTGCTGATAGAAGGTGTAAAAAAACTACTCTGACGCTTAAAAAAGATCAGTTTAGTCTTTGAGGTGTTAAAATTAACAAGCCCCATTTCTTGCCCCATTTAAAAACAGAGTTGAGGTTAATTTCGAGATCAGCTGCCAATTTGACTTTACATTAAAACAGGAGGAAATAGTTATATCCTAGATATGGCTACCGACTCGAGAATTAATGACGTGGGTTGGGGGGGGTCATTGATAAAATTGATAACTTACCTTTATATTTAGCACTGACCGTTGGGTAGTGATCAATATTGACCGCACTGTGTTCGGAGGGGCTTATTACTCGACCTGGAGACAAAGGTGATGACGGTGAAGACGATGACGATGATAAAGGTACGTCTGTCATTGGGTGAGGAGTGCTTCGTTCGTCGTTGTGCTGAGAACCAATACTCGCTTCATTGTGGACGATGATCTCACCAGGACTCTCTGGCCTGCATACCAATTCCTTTGTGCTTTGCATTGGCAAAGAACTGGGCAACAATCCGGATTTCACCAATGACTGCATTATGTGTTTAATTCCTGACCTGAGAGCTGATTAATTTGTTCCCAATGGAATCTCTTGATAAATGGGCAGAGCCTTGTGTTCACTACCTGAAATATATCACGATAAGCAAGAACTATTAAATAATCAATCATTAAATGAAGATCGATATCTATATCATACATATGTGTGTATACGTGTACATACTTTACTAAAATGGTGACAAAAAATACACATTTCTTTCGGATTTTTGGGATCGCTATTCGAGATTAAGAAAACATTAGATTTCAAATATTAATTTTCCAATTTCAATACACAATTGGTTGATTGACGCAACATAATATTTCGATACATTAAGAGCTTCCCTCTGTCTCTTCTACTAACCACAGAGAACCATCCCTGTCCCCATTAGAATGTCTGACGTTCAACGTCTCAAGAGCTACTCTTTGCGATTACTCGGCCTCTCATTGACTGCTGACCTGAGATGGAAGAAATACATTGAGTCAATAGCTTCGTCCACCGCAAGGAAAGTTGGCTCCCTGTGCCGCGCCAGGAAATTTATTCTCGCCGGAGTCGATCCTTCAAATCTACAAATCAACCATTCACCCTTGCATGGAGTATTGCTGCTGGAGACCCTTCTGTATGTCTCAAGGTTCTTGATAAAATCCAGAGACGGATATGCAACGTAATTGACCCTGATCTGGCATATCGTCTGCAGTCGCTCTTCCTGTCTTTTTTTTACAAATACGTTCATTGTAACTGCTCCGATGAGCTGCTTTCGCTGGTTCCCAAACTTCATGAATTTAAGCGTTCAACTAGGCTGGCATCTCGCTCACGCCCTTTCACTGTCGAAACTGTTAAATGTAGCCGTCTCTTCTACTCCAATAGCTTCATGTCTCTCACCTCTCGCCCCTCGCCCGTGGAAATTCCTCCCCTCTTCCTGTTCCTACAATCTGAAACTATTCAAATGTAATGTCAATCGACGTCTCCAGATGCCCTGATCTATATCCTATCCTTCTCTTCATCCTTTCCTCTATCACTCCTATTTGCTCTCGCTCCAACTCTCTGTAACCCCTTGCGGGCTAGTGGTTTCCCACCTTGCTTGGGGTGAAACGCTTAAAAAAAGAAAGAAAGAAGTATTTTAACGGCAACTGTTCCGACGAGCTACATTCGCCGGTTCCCAGACTGCATGAATTTAAGCCTTCTACTAGGCTGCTATTTGAACCCACCCTTTCTCTGTTGAAACGGTTAAATGTAACCGTCTCTTCTACTCAATCAGCTTCTTTTCTCGCACTTCCTGTCTGTGGAAGTCTCTTCCTCTTGCTTGTTTCCCTGATCACTATAATCTTCAAATATTCAAGTGTAATGTCAATGGACATCTTCTGATACCTTGATCTTGTTCCCCGTCCTTCTCTGTATCCTTTCCTCAAACACGCCCCTTTACTCTTGTTCTCAATCCTCTGTAACCCCATGCGTGCTAGTGGCACCCCCGCCTTGCTTGTGGTGAATTGCTTAAAAACAATTGGACTTAAGCTATACTTTTTTTTTATATCCACTTCAGGTATCAGATAGTCTTTTCATTATTAACTGTGAATCGACATTCATTTTGGGGAAAGAATGGTTTCCCTTTGCCTTGTCCACGGTTTGAAATTCGTACTGGTTACCATCCAAGGTTAGAGAACCTAGTCTACTCAACTATTTAACTTATAGTTAGGAGGAAGGAAGAACGGCTCATGCCTTTCCCAGAAGTGAACGCAATAGACGAGAATTTGACTATGTCTCGTCTTCCAACCTGTTACGATATTAAACCGGGCTATCGTTTTGGTTTTACAACCAATCTAGGAAAGGAACAATTCTGAATTCAAAATCTGTTGGACGTGGGACGAGTAATACCATCCCGTAAAAACCTACTTGCTACAGAAACCACAGTAGAAAAACTTCAGAACGTTCAAAATCTTCAAAAACTATTTTTCTTTCCTTTTTTTGCTGCATGCCTCTGAGTGTAAAATGATAATGCATTGTTTTAGTAACCCACGTTGAATTTACAGTTAACTGTATTCGATAAACTGATCGAAGAAATCAATAACAAAAAATACATAGCAAAAGTAAGTTCGGCTTATAAGACAAGGCTTTGGTAATAGAATCAAAGCGTCTTGCTATGTCTATATTTCTGAGATGAGGTATCGTCATTATTTACACTATTTACACTTTTCAGACTGTCGTCCTCGTCTTTGTTACCATATTCACGACATTTCGGCGATTGTACTCTCCGGTCTTCTTCAGGTGAAATTTCGAAAAAGGGTTCGATTCGAAATTCAAATCACCTGAAGAAGGCCGGAGCGTGCAACACCTGAAACGTCCTGAATATGGCAACAAAGACGAGGACAACAGTCCGAACAATGTAAATGGTGTCTTTGTTGATGTGTGTAACCAACGCTACTTCCGTTTAACAATAATCGACGATCAAAGGCCTACAGATTTTCTACAACAAACTAATTTGCTTTTAGTTTGATCGCAACGAAATGACACAAATGTGTCTCCCTTCCCCCGGTCTTATGTTATGTTGAAAACATTTCCGGAGATCTGTCGGTCACCTTCATCTGCTGTCAACTATCTGCCTGGATAGATTTATAAATAGCGGTGAGAGCGCCTTTGACCGTCATTAACAGGATAGCATCGCTGTCTAAAAGAGCTGCACTGGCTTAGATTCTCACGTGCGGGCCAAGGACGGAATATGCATTTGGTATTATCATAAAATATGATAATCATACGATCCATCATTTATATAGTTATCAACTGTGGCTCAAGGCCATGATATAAGAATCAAAGTAGTGATTTCTCTAAGACAAAGGTCACAACCATAGAGATCGTTTCGAAGAGTCAGACTCTTAATTGGTATATTCTTTTCCTACTCGACTCGAGGCTGAACACAAAGAATATTCGGAACTATATTCTTTGATTACCGTAACAATTTTAGAACTTTTCAGCAGACGAGTTGTCAAAGAAAAACAAATGATTATTCAGTACTAATGCCGTATTACTGGAAGAACATAAACATGTACCACTGTTACATAAACATGCATCACTGCTACATAAACATATATCACTGTTACATAACATATATCACTGTTACATAAACATGTATCGCTGTTACATAAACATTTGTCGTTGTTACTCGGAAAATCAATTCTGCTCAGCAGTGTGGGCTTTAAATAAATAATTCCATTTGTTTTATTCTTCTTATTTAAGAACATGATTAATCTGCCTTTGTTGTTGATACAAGGGTTTATTTTTAACCGGTATCAAAAGTTGTTCTTCGAACCCAAGTAAAAGCCAGGATTTCATTTGCAAACTCAATACCACTAGAGAAATTGGCGCAACACATTCTTCTACTCAATTTAGCCTTGTTCAACAAAGTATAAGAATATTATTGTCGGCAATTGAATTAGAAAATGAAGAAAATCTGCGTAATGCGTTTCGACGTCTAAAAAGTCATCATTGGATAATGATAATGTCGATGGAATTAAAAAATATTTAATGTTTACATTTTGAGAACATTTTAAGCTTAAAAATTTAATATTTAGCATTCTCACATCTTCAGAGCTTCCTCTCGATGCATAATTATTAAGCGACGTTTATGTTTATATACCTCCCTATACATATATAGGGGGCAACAAAAGTTGGTATACAATATGTTGATATAATTATGTTTGTATAATCAATACAATACATTTTGTGCACACGTTTTGTTTTCCATTACTTTATACCTACTTTTGCATCCCTGTATAATCCCATCAATAAGTGCATTACTTTAGTCTGATGAAGTCCTTTTAGAGGTCGAAGCGCGTTACACATAATTTTTCACTTTGGCATTCACTTGTCTAACATAGCTAGTCTAGTATTTTAGTCAAATGTTCCAAGAAAGATTAACGAACTGAATATTGTTTTGTTCTGGTTGTTGGGGCTGAGACTATTTAATAATAATAATAATAATAATAATAATAATATGTGTGTGTGTGTGTGTTGACTTCAACGCTCACTTTTAATTTACATACACTCTATCTCTGATATTGAGCACTTTATCCCATAAATATATCATACCTTATATATATATATATATATATCTGTGTGTGTGTGTGTGTGTGTGTGTGTGTGTGTGTGTGTGTGTGTGTGTGTGTGTGTGTGTGTGTGTGTGTGTGTGTGTGTAATGTAATGTAATATTTAAATTAACATATCACTGTATCTCCTGGGAACGTTCTGGTTTGCTGCTTCTGGTAGATCTTTTACTTCGACAAATATAGATGTTCTGTGATTTTTTTTCTCTTTTTCTATTGTCCTTTCTCGTTTCCTTTCGTAAGATCGAAATTGAGGCTTTCTACATTCTAATCGTTCTCTGTTGCGGTATGTCTCCAGCTGACATCACTCATAATAGCGTCTTCGTTGCCTAATTGAATGATGTTGCTAATCATGTAGGCCAGTACTTACAGGGAAATCATTTTGCTTAGAAGAAAGTTCTGTTAAAACTCACAATGACCGTAACCAAAATGAAAATATCAAGTATCAAAAAACTTCTTCTTCTTCTTCTTCTTCTTCTTCTTCTTCTTCTTCTTCTATCCACCCAATTTAAGCCCTAAGTACCACTCAAGGGAGAAGGTTACTGAATAATGCTGCTGTAATACTGCAAAGGAATGACGTGCATATTATGAGGATATGTAGGATATATAACAATTGACCCAAGATTTGAAGAGGTTAATATTGTAGTGATCGGAGGAGCATCCCCTCAGGAGTTTGTTTCACAAAGTGACAATTCTGAGTGGAACGTCCTCCTTACTAATGGAATACGAAGGAAATGTGGATGAATCCAC